GAGGGCGTGTCATGCGTGTCATCAAGCATCCTCTGTTCCGACCGTTCAACTCCACACAGGCGGAAGAGTTTCTGGGATCGCAGAGCCGGGGTGATGTGGTGATCCGGCCATCTTCCAAGGGACCGGACCATCTGGCCGTCACCTGGAAGGTGGCCGACGGCATCTTCCAGCATATCGATGTTCTGGAACTCGACAAGGAGAATGAGTTCTCCGTAGGTCGTACGCTGAAAGTTGGTGGTCGTTACACCTACAGCGACTTGGACGACTTGATCTTCAACCATGTCAAGGCGATGGCCAAGAAGGTAGACGAGATGATGCTGCATGAGAAGTACCAGGAAGGCAGCAAGGATGCCACCTGTAAGTTGTTTTCCCCCTTTGTTTCTCTTTCGATTGTATCCAGTACTGACGGGCCGATCCAGACTCTTGGCTGAACACCTATACCAAAGCGAACCCCAGACGATCTGCGTATGCCTTCTGTATCGATCCCAAACACCCAGGATACTTTTTGCTGTGTTTCAAGGCCGGTGAGAATGCGCAGCTACACAGTTGGCCGGTCAAGGTCATCCCTCAAGGCTATGAGTTGCAGCGTAACCCGTACCCAGACATGCGCGCCCTGTGCAATGGGTTCAAGCTACTATTTACCAATATGCAGGCCGGCAAGCGACGATGATTTCATTTTGGGACCATAGAGGGTGGACCGGGTGTTTCCTTTCCCTTTATCGTATATTTTCTCATCTCCCACATTTCCCTCTCTGTATACTGTAATATCATGATGGTTCATTCCTCTGCGATGGTGGATTTCTTGCGCGTCTGTGACTCCATAGCTGTGGGCAGAAAATAGCATTTGGCATGGTTTATGGCTTGGTTTTCCAAATTGAACTCGTTTCTCGGATCCAATTTTCTGATGATCTTCTTTCTAGCCTTCCTTTAATCTACTTCTTGGAGACGCTCATCCGTCATGTTGCACTCCGTGCTCCGTACCAGTCTGGTACTTGCTTTGCTAAGACAGATTGCATACAAAACATAGGTACAATGAAGGATACTTGATCTGCACGACACGACTATTGTAGAACAAGTAAGCAACAATGCTCCCATGTCCCAACACTTTCCTCTGCTGTGGCTCTGTCCCTGTGTGCTGCTTCATGTGAAGATGTGATCCTCGGTCTGGTTGATCATCCTCGGAAGGCTCAACGAAAGCCTTCAACGAATATCTCTGCCCCCTTGTTTGTCCTTTGTTCCCAATTTGAAGAATTTTTTTTGATGAGCTGGCCTGTTCCCCCTCTTCTATTCTTGCTCACTGTTGTCTGTGGATCCTTGTTCGGCAAACGTCAGATTGTATAAGGCTGAGACTGGCTGAGGTCAGCGGCCAAATTCCTCCTCCGCATCATCACATCATCCCCAGCAGCTTTTCTATCAACACCATCTGCTTTGCTCTTCATTGCGTTCCAAAATATCATTGATTGCTTCCTTATGTGAATAGATGTTCTGAATTGTCTTAAAACCTGATTTTCTTTCTCTGTCTACAGTCAAACAACCTGTTCCCGGTGCGCCCCTGATTCCCCGCAGTCATGGCTGCCATGGAGGAGTTGGAGATCCACAGCAAGGTAAGGAGGTTCCATGCATCAATTGGAGTATCTTCCATTGCGATCCATGCAAGAAACAAATTTACCGGTCGTGTCCTATTGCCCGCGCTGATGTGAAGCCTCCCGCTCAGTCCTACTTTGTCCGTTGGGTCAATGTCAAGCCCGAACATACCATCTCCTGGAGCATCCAGCCGCACAAGAAATCCCTCAACTTTGGCATCTTCAAGCATCCCGGCCATTCCGGTGTCCTCAGTTCTACCAATCATCCTACCGGCGACTATCACAGTACCGATTCGAGCGAGAACTTACCGTCGGCCAGTGCTGCCGCTGGCTCCCGAACCTCGGTCATCGAAAAGCTGACCAGTATCGGCCTCAAGCAGGTCCGATGGATTGGCAAGTGCGAAGCGGACAAGATCGTCAAGGGTACCTACGATGTACCTCACAATGAAGGGGGAAACTACGCGCTGGTCTTTGACAACACATTCTCCAAGCAAATCTCCAAAACGGTCACCCTGGTGCTGCTCACTTATCCTACCCACTCGGGCCCGACGAACCACTCGACAACTCAGCTCGCTCGCGAAGTCGATTTCGTGGAAAATGTCAACTCAGCGGCGCGAAAACGAGGTAACAGTATCCTTTCTAAAGCGCCCTCTCAAGCCGTCAGCACGACCTCCGGGACTACCCATACCGGAGTCTTGCACAAGCGCCGCAGGAAACGCCACCAGGGTTGGGCAAGGAGATACTTTTCGTTGGACTTCACCTCGTCGACCCTCTCCTACTACCATGATCGTAACTCGTCCGCGCTGCGCGGCTCAATTCCTCTTTCGCTGGCTGCCGTCGCTTGCAATGAAAAGTCGCGTGAAATTTCCATCGATTCGGGCACAGAAGTCTGGCACTTGCGGGCCAGCAATGACCAGGACTTCATTGCCTGGAAGCGTGCGTTAGAGAAAGCTTCCTCCAAGGCGTCCGCCGAGGACTCTCACGCTCCCGAGGTGCTGCTTCGCGTGCCTTCCCAGCGCTTCCTCACCAATGCCGCGGAGGAACGCGAGTGGACACGGGTGGAGCACCTAGTCAGCAAGGTATCGGGATCCCGGGATGCAGTGCGGCGACTGGCTAGAGACACCGATCCGAAATACTTGAATAGTTCGTCGGCGTTGTCTCCGTACGAGCGGCCCCGAGGTCGCTCCCCGAGCCCGCACCCGGAACCCAACGGTGAGGAGTACTTCGAGGCGCGCGAGCGGCGTCCATTCTGGAAACGGAAACCCAGTTCAAACTCGAATCAAACAGCCAAGCGTTCCGCCCCGACGACGACGACCTCTTCGAGCTCGCAGCTGGCGGTCCCATCGCCCACGGCGGATGCGGCGTCCCTCGCCGGCGACCGGAAACCCAGCAGCATTGCTAGCCATCCGGACCATGTGGAAGAAATCCATGACCATCTGATGGCTCTCCTGCGAGATCTGGATAATGTAGTTAGCGAATTTTCGACGTTGATCGCGGAGAGCAAACATCGTCGGCATCCGCCTGGAATGACGGCGCAGTCTCGGCTAAGCATGGAGTCCGAGATGTCGCAGGAATTCTTTGATGCCGTGGACGGAGAAAACATGTCGCCATTGCTAACCATCAAGGGAGACAGTGACGATGAAGGAGCGGGTAATATCGCCCGGCAGGCCGAGGACGAAGCCGTCGCAGATGACGCTCCATCAGACAGCGAGGAAGAAGTGGCGGAGCCCGTTACCCCCCATGGTGGGGAGAAGGACTCACCCTTGTTCCCTTCACGCCCCAAATCGCTCACGCCTCTGCCTCTGAGCCCTGTACGTCGCCGCAGCAACATCACTGCGCCCACAGTCATGCCCCCGAGCCTGATCGGTTTCCTCCGCAAAAACGTGGGTAAAGACCTATCACAGATTTCGATGCCTGTCTCCTCCAACGAGCCGCTCTCGCTACTGCAACGCGCGGCCGAGGCACTCGAATACTCCACACTGCTGGACCAGGCCGCGAAGGCCTCGGACAGTGTGGAGCGGCTCATGTACGTGACGGCCTTTGCAATCTCTCCGCTGTCAAGCAACCGCGTGCGAGAGCGAGCCATCCGGAAACCCTTCAACCCCATGCTGGGAGAGACCTACGAGCTCGTGCGGGAGGACCTCGGGTTTCGATTCATCGCGGAGAAGGTCTCGCACCGCCCTGTGCAGCTGGCGTATCAGGCAGACAGCAAGGACTGGAGTCTTGCGCAATCGCCGATGCCGACACAGAAATTCTGGGGCAAATCCGCGGAGATTATCACCGATGGGAAATTCCGGCTGACGCTCCACACGACCGGCGAGCATTTTAGTTGGTCCGCGGCCTCGTCGTTCCTGCGCAACATCATCGCCGGCGAGAAGTACGTCGAACCGGTCGGCGAGATGGCAGTGCTGAATGAGACGACGGGCCAGAAGAGCGTGTCGACCTTCAAGGCCGGCGGCATGTTCTCGGGCCGCAGCGAGGAGGTCGTCACCAAGGCGGTCGATTCTTACAACGACGAGCTGCCACTGGGGCTGACGGGCACCTGGACCTCGTCGCTGCAGCTCACCAAGAACGGATCCGCCACGGGCACGGTGATCTGGAAGGCCGGGCCTCTTGTGCCCAACGCGCCCAAACACTACGGTCTGACCGCGTTTGCGGCAACTCTGAACGAGCTCACCCCCATCGAGGAGAAGCGGCTGCCGGTGACGGACTCGCGGCTGCGGCCGGACCAGCGGGCGCTGGAAGACGGGGACGTGGACCGCGCGGAGCAAGTCAAGGTGCAGCTGGAGGAAGCGCAACGGGCGCGGCGGCGCGAGATGGAGGCGGCGGGCGAGAGCTGGACGCCGCGCTGGTTCAAGCGGGTGGAGGGCGACATGGGCGGTGCGGATGCAGAGGACGTCTGGGCTCTGAAGCCCGGCAAGGATAGCTACTGGGAGGAGCGGGCCCGGGGAACTTGGACGGGTGTGGTGCCCGTGTTCGAGGCGTAGTTACCATGTGTATGTTTATTCGTCTATGATCCTGTATAGACATGCATGTCATATATAGAGGACTTCATATAGAGATATAGGTAGAGTTGCTTACAATATCGCCCTCTACTAAGATGGCATTGGTGTAAATCACGAGGAGCAAAATAAGATTAGCCAGGCCTATGCTTACGACTATCGAGCAGCCAATCGACCTATGCTCATAACGACCATTACTCTGAAAAACTTTTATAGTGGAAAGCAAAAGTAATTTCATTCAGCTGCGGAAAACATATCGTGTCCATTTCGTTTCTAGTCGTCGGTATCGGATCGTTGTCGGTATCACATCATTCGCTTGAGCATATATACAGCTAAAATCCCAGAGTTGTTGTTCGGATATATTGCGCCAATCTCGCATTTGCGGACAAATTCGGTTGGAAGGTTCGCGCGTAAATCAATCCTCGTCTGACTGATCATGAACAGCCCATCGGTGATTATTCCGGGGCTTCGTTGATTTTCTGGCGCTCCCACGATCGGATGGTGGCGCACCCACCATCAGCGGCAGACTGTCCAGGACGGCGCGGTTGCCCTCAAAGTAGTGTACCGCGAATCCTCCCTGGAGAACTCGTCGGAGAGAGTTGAGTCGAATCCACTTCCACCAACGGTCGATGCTCATGACCCCTTCCCTTCCAATCTTCACTCGGACCTTGCTCCCGTAATGTCGATGCGAATCCTGGTCGATCGCCTTGTTGTACATGGGGCCGCGTCGGGGATTCTCTACGGTCGTCAAGATGGAGGCGAAATTGCTGTGCAGGTTCTTCTTATCCCGCTTGCTGATGTGCTTGTTGTGCACGGTAGCCAAGGATTGGAGTTGCTGTTCCAACTCGTGGGTGTTATGGTACGCATTGTAGCGTTTAACGAGCTTTGGCCCGTCGCGGTCGCCGGCATCCATAAAGGACTCCTCATCCGGTTCAACTTCCTCGTCTTCGTCGTCGTCGTCCTCTTGCGGTGTGTAGCTCTTTTCGTACAGCAGGGCGATATTCTCGCCAGCGGCAATCTGCCGGGCCGGATCATTGCTATTAAGTTGATCCATGAAGATCTGGACCGCCTCTTCGCTTTCAGCCTCCAGGTCCTCGATTTCTGTCGCGAGGTAGCCCCATTCTTGCAGAGCAGCCGTGACGGTGGCCGCATCGTCAGGGGCTTCGATTGACTGGCCATCGGAGGCAATGATGTCCAGGAAAAAGGTCATCTGGTCCAGAATGCTGTCTTCGCCAGCACCACCAAAACTGGTGCATGCCCCCAGGCAATGGATTGCGGCGGCCTTGATCACAGGGGAAGTCGAGTCGCGGATCGTGCGTGTAAGCAGCGGCTCCACGTTTTCGTAGATGGTGTTGTCAAAGGCAGTGATGGTAAGAAGACTCAAAGCGCGAAGCGCCAGAGTTGTCTCTCGCACGCTGCTTTCAAACTTGATACTCTTGGCAAAAGCGCTCACAAGGTCAATGACACGGGTGCGGATACGATCTTCGATGTAATGAGATTTGGCGAGACGGCAAAAGGCAGCATAGGCCTCTTCTCGAGCCAGGACACTGCTCCGTTTGCGATCCAGGATATCTTCAACGACATCCTCAAGCTCTTCGGGCCAGTTGGCGTTTGTATCAGCATCTGGGAGGTCAGCCAGGTCATCCAGGGAACCGAGGCTGTGGAAAACCCAAGCATGGTTAGTTATACTTCAACTGTCATGAACAACAATTACGTCATCCCGCCATGAGGACCCTTAAAAAAAATATAGGGGAGAAAGGCGGGGGAAAGAATCTCACCTATATGCAGTCTCGTCGCTGAGATTACCTTCGTCCTCTTCATCGGATTGGTGTCTGCTGGCGTTGCGAGACGACTGTTTCGAACTCTGAGCAGAGGCCGCGCGAGAGGGACGGCGAGAGCCTTCGCGAGAAGCGGCCTTGCGGGACATGGTCTTGCCGCTCTCAAAGATCTGACGGCGTAGGTCAGGCATGTTGAGAGATTCGTAGTAAGGAGATATAGAAGAGAGATAAGGATGATAGAGAGATCGTATAGATAAACGACGAGATCGATAATCAAGTGTCGTTAAGGATAAGGTTCGCAATGATCACTGGGAAAGTGGATTATCTCAATACTAGGGTATGGAGAGGGTCGGCAGAAAGAATGTTTTCACAAAGACGATGGACATGATAAGACTGGAAAAAGAACCTTGAGGCAGAATAAGAGTCGAGAAGGATCTGTTTGAAGGCTCAGTTGATGCCTACGATGGAAGAGAATAAAAAGACAAATGAAGACGTCAACGGCAAACCCTCTCTTTTTAACAGGACGCCGTGGAAGAATGATAATACGTCTTTGCGCCTTGTCAGCCGGGTTCGTCCCCTGATAGTCTGGTCTACCTTACATTACCCCTCGATGCTTTTTCATATGAACTGAGCTACTTGAGATTCCACCAATAATAACGAATCCTTATTCTTCTTTTATCTCCTCAACCTCAAGCACTAGTCTACTGCAGAGTTTCTGTACTCTCTCTGCAAGTCTCTTTCTTTTCTTTTTCTATTTTCCTTTTCTTCTGCCAATCGCCGAGGGTCTTATCGCCACGTGATGCGGGGTCGCTTATCTATTGACGGAGCTTGACTAAAAGAGGTCCTGGTCTCTGAGTAAATAGGTGTCGAGTGATGATCATTTCAGGCCAGATAGGTATGACGGTATCCCGCAGGCTGTCACTGCCTATGGGGATTCAATAGTGGATTGGGTTTCTTGGTTACTGAGCCTATGCTATGACCTCCCCCGCAGTAGGTTGCGAATAGGCAATCGTAATACGCGGTTATATTCATGAAATGGTATCTATCATGTATGCTTTCCTGTGCTACTGGAAAGCACTCTTCTCCTCCTCATCATGCTTCCATCGCCAAAGCTAGGATCCCCGAAGCCTTGGCACCCTCGAGATACTCCCTTCCTTCTCTTCTCCGCTCGTCCTCATCCTCATCGTCACCAACTTCAAGATCGACCTGTAAACTGGCATCGTACGCTCTCATGACGGTTTCCTCGTCCACACGTACTCCACCTTGGACCAGCACGCGAATACATTGCGCCAGGCGTGCAATCTCGCGCCGTGTCTGCGGTGGAATCTCGTCGTTCTGGCTGGAATAGATAGAGCTCGATACCATCTCCTCCATACGGGTGATGGATACATTCTCCGTCGTAGAGGATGCTGCGGCCGCGCCGTCGGCGTGCTTCGAGATCCAGATGTAACCATTCACCCCAAGTATAATGTTCACCTCACCGCCTCCGTTCGCTGTGTTGACCGTCCACTGTTGCCTCCGGGCGCGAACCACACCACCCGTGCCTGAAGTGCCCATCGCCCCAGCAGAAGCAGTTCCCGCTCCAGGGCCTCCCTTCACTGTCGAGCTCGATGTTCCGCTACCACCGGTTCCCGCAACAGCGAGGAACACGCCATTTCTAAGCTTGCCGTATTTCAGTGATCGCGTGTGCAATGATGCTGAGCCGTCTGAATGCACGCTCTGCACCTCTGCAACCACCAAATCCCCTTCACTGAAAAAGGTTCGAATCTGCAATTCATCCGCGCTTGTCCGCCTACGCAGGATACCGCCCGGCAGATTGATGGCAGAGAGGGGTAGCTGTGCGAGGAGAGGGGCGGCGATATCGACCTTCCATCGTCGTGACTGAACCTCCACAATCCGTCCAACAACCAGATCACCGATTTCTGGGATATACCGGGCCCGCAGCGGCTGAACGGAGAGCAGTTTGTTTGTTTTCTGTACGGTACCAGCAACAGTGGCAATAATCGAAGTCGAGAGCAGATTTGAGTAGGTACCGTGACCTCTGCGAATTGGTCAGTAACAATCCCGAAACCTCCTGTGGAAGGAATCTGAAAATGGGCAAAATATCGGCGCCCGAAGGTCGGAAAGACCAACCTCATCCATTGTGGATCATCCGTCACAACTTCACCTGGTGTCACAATTCCTGCGCCAATCTTTGTTCCTTCCACTAAGCGCGGCCGTTTGCTGGGTCGAGAGCCTCCTCTTGAAGTCAAATCAACTCCTCCGTCTGAATCTATCGACATTGAATCGGAGTCTGAATCTGGATAGGGATAATTGGCATCCTCCACAACGGGAGGAAGAATAGTGATGGCCATTTCCAAGCGAAGAAATTATCAAAGGTATTATTTCTCCGACAAAAGATAAAAATGAGTAATGAGCTGAGGTTGGCTTTGGGGTTATGTTCGAGTTTCAAGAGCAGAAGATTCCGCAATTGAATTGTTCAAGAGCAAACAGGACAAACTTGATGCAAAGAGCACGTGAAATAATCCAGCTAGAAATCAGAACTTCATGTACGGAGGAGAACTGCTAATTGAGAAAGAAATCCATATAAATTTGGCATACTTTGATATAAAGAGAAGAGGAAAATAAAAGATCTGTTTAGTTGCCCTGGTGGATTTTTATTGCTGTTATTCATGAATCTAATTAGGCCTTTCCATTTATGGTTCATATCATACCCTCGCCAGTCAACATTTATGGGTAAAAAAGAAAAGAGAATGATAAGACAGCAATGAAAGAAGTAAGGTAGTATGGCCGAATGATGACGCACAATTCTCAAGTTTGTCATATTTCGACACTTTTTGCGAGAGACAGCCATGCCGCTCAAACCGGATCAACATAAGAGATAAAGCGCAGTACTGGCAGTCCTCGGTAGGCAACTTCCCCTGCGGCGCACTGCACGAAGCATGCTCTGGGAACCCCGGATAAGTCAGGATGCCAGAAGGAGAAACCAGGAGTATAATAGTACATGGAGGGAAATCAATGCTTGAGCAGAGAAACCAGGTCTTCAGGCACCCACACCTGACGACCTTTTCGATGCGCGTTTGGTATTTGAGTTCGTGTCGTCCTTCTTCTTCTTGCTGGGACGGCTGCTGCCACCCTTGGGTCTATAGCCTGTATCGTCATCGCGCTTGCGCTTGCCTTTGGTGCTACCTGGAGTGGGACCGGTATCCATTAGGACGCCGTCCTCGTCATAAGCCTCCTCCTCTTTGCGTGGCTGGGTTGCTCTTTTGGACGCCCGCACATTAGTTGGTCGAGAGCCTGACTTCTCGGAGGCGTTCTCATGATCCTGTAGGAAAATATGCGGTTGATTGCGCCGCAGCCAGTTGTAAACGGAGACAGGGTTTCGCAGCGCTAGTTCCCTTTCTCGTTCAGAGAATGATGGCTTTTCGGGAATGCGACTAAGCTCGAGAGCGGCTGCTTCGTCGCCGAGCTTCGCATCCATACTCAGGTAGTACTCGGTCTCGTGTTCCKGAGTGAGATATCCGAGCTTCTCCTCCAGGCTGATATCCGTAGAAGAATCTTGTCTTACGGGCGGCACCGCCGTATGGGGTACCTTTTGGAGGGCAGTGTAAGGCATGCGTGGTGCAAATGCGTTGCCTCGTTTGATATCGTCTTCCAGAGTGCGATATGCTTCGAGGGTCATGCTGCCAGCAGCCATCTGTGCTTTGGCATCTTTCAAGATGGATTTTGCCGTTGCAGTGTCAACGTACATCGGCGATCGTCCAGGCGTCGGCAGGAAGGATGAGTCTCCCGGCGCACTGAGATCAAATCGCTGATTCGCTGGGACGTGCAAACTTTCGTTAAATTCAAGGAGAACCTCTAGAAGTTGGCTGTGGCAGGAGAGTCAGTCCTCGAACGAGCCTGTGTCTTTCTATACACCCGCAGATCTTCGCTTACTCGTTCTGCTCCTGGATTCTCTTTGAGAGATCTTCGATGCGCAACTCTTCGCGGATCAGGGACTCGCTCTCCTTCATCCCAAGCTCGAATTTGACTTTAAGTTTGGCATACTTCTTTCTATAGCACCAGGAGGTAGCCATATTAGTTCTCATATCCATGGCTAAAGCTGCGCACTGAAGGACCTACTTGAAAGAACGATATGACTGTTTCGCAGGGGCACCGGTCGATTCGTCGGGCAGGCTCTCGGCCACGGAGCGGGAATCCGCGTTTTCCTGTGACATGTTGAATCGAAATTGACGCGGAGAGGCGTATTCGAGGCAGTAACGCGGATATGAGATTGGTGATTGATGAGGAAATGGCGAGTGTTAAAAGAGAGCTCTAAAGGCGAGCGATGGTGTTTGATGATGGCTGGTCACCTGTCGCCAAGTCCGAAGTCCGCAATGGAAAGATTGTTGCGTCGGCGGGTGTTTTTGCCCGCCGTAAAAAGTTTCAATCCTCTCCATTCATACCAAAGACAATAGCTAAATGCGCTTGACTGACTTGAGCAGTCAAGACTAGTTTCTATTGTGAATTGCTATTTTACGATTCTCATTATTCTATTAATTGCAGTGGGCCACTCTTTTAGAACGATTATCGCGTCATTGACGAACCTGATTTCAATTCGACATGGCTGGCCTCGGTGAAGGTAGTCAAAAAAAGCGAAAGCTCACAGACGTTCCTGAAATTGAAATCGATGTGTCCGCTCCTGAGCCTCCGTCGAAAAAGGCTCTGCGTAAAGCCAAAAAGAAGGTTACCGAGCCTACGGCAGATTCTACAACGAAGCAAGAGGGCGTTGTGCCCAGGAAAAGGCAAGAAGACGAAGCGCCCCAAAAACGTTCAGACTACGGCATCTGGATTGGAAACCTGGCCTTTTCGGTGACCAAAGATGATCTGCGCAAGTTTTTCATAAGCAATTGCACGTTTGCGGATACTACAATCACCCGTATACACCTGCCGAAGGGTCAGGAAAAATTTGGAAAGGCTCAGAACAAGGGCTTCGCTTACATCGATCTTGCCAACGAGAAGGCTGTGAAGGAGGCCGTGGGGTTGAGCGAGCAACTTCTAGCTGGGCGCCGTGTGCTGATCAAGGATGCAAAGAGTTTTGACGGCAGACCAAAAAAGTCAGAACAGGATTCCGCGGCAACTGCTACAAAACCTCCTTCGAAACGGATATTTGTTGGCAATCTCGGCTTTGATGCTACAAAAGAGGTCATCG